AACCAATTTTTGCAGGGATTCTCGAAATCACTGTAATGCTTCGTCCTGCAAAAGTGATTACTTATGCACTAAATGAGTTGAGTAATCCTGTTGTTCCCTAGCTGAATGAATGGGAAGTCGGAACACCAAGACGACCAGGAACTTATTCAAAAGCAGTTGTATCTGAAGCCTGACTTTTTGATAAAATTTTATACATCATCAATATATACACTTAATGAATTTTATCCGGCAACTTTGCATGAGGACTTGCTACTTCCGAGTCTGCCCTCATGTCACTGTGATTCTGTTGACGTATGGACTTCAGTAGCATATGCTGCTGTAAATCAGGAGGAGTTGGCTGCGATTTAAAAAATTAATTAAAATTTATTTAAGTACAGGTGTCTTCCTCTCAGCTCACAACACCTCAGGTAAATACAACAATCACTTCCAGAATGTCCATCAAAAGAGCATAAATTAGCAGAGGGATTCGCCGTTCTTGCAAAAAATAAATAGATGTCAAACTAGTTGAGGAGGTGGCTACCTCCTCCTTCGCAATTGGCATTTGCTCATGTATTTTGCAGAAAGAAAATGGGACGGGAACTTGACTACTGTTGCATTAACTCGATATCTGCGAGCTTCAGTACCACACAGAGCATAAGTCGAATCCATTCTCAAAAATCATCCAAAATAGGACAATATTACTTTAAAACATAGCTAGAAACTATTCCGTGAAATATATTTGTTTGATAATTATGAAGTCAAGTCATATTTGCAAATCCTGCAGTCATTAGCTTATGTATGTTCCAAAAAATTCCTCTAAATTTTAAAGTTTTTTTGTGGTCACACAATGTCTAGGTCGGATTTATCCCATGTTTTGGATTTGAAATTCTTGAACTTATCATGCTTGATATAAAGTTCTTCGCACAAACAATGTGTATGACAGAGTATTACAGGTGCAGAAACAAATAAATCCAATTTGGCTTTTTTTTAGCAATGTTATGTTAAAAAATTATGATGCTTAAGTCATAAAACGTATTCAAACAGGTTTCAAGTTGGTATTGTTCCACCCGCGAAGATTAACTGACTGAGGTCAATCGGCGCGATATCGAAATACCGACGTCTTTCGGGAGAAGGTAACCTCCAATACATACTGTACTAAATTATCGTGCAAATTGTGGTATAGTCTACCTTAAAGAAGGGAGGACCCTCAATGTAGAATAATCCAACTCTGATATCCCAAGATAGCTATTGTGTACTCAGACAATACATGCTTTTTGTCGAGCATACGGGATTTCGTCCTGGGATTTACCATGCCTAACACTGCTTCTAGAATAGTGAGTTTGCTTTTGGAAATCCAAAATTGCAGCGATGGTGTTTATAGAGTTTAAATCAAATTGAGGACCCACATACTTCATTGTTCAATGAGCAATCCTGAGTATGACTATTTGCAACAACTTTCATGGCAACAATATTTGAATTCTAATAGGTAAAATGCTTTTTGCATAATAAATTAGTGTGGTATTGACAGTACTGGTGGTATCAGCCGTATTTTCATTTTTTCATGCATCAGAATGACCTAGTAAATAAGAAGCCCAAAATTTTACTTTTCCTCGACTCAGCTACCTGTTTTCTGAATTATGGTACAAGGTGCAGCTAAATAAAGACGGGTCGTAACCTGCGTTTTACTCCATGTATTTCTGCTTGGGGTACACCGGATTGCCTACAAGGCTTAGCCAAATGTTGAGTTTGATTTCATGTACCTTCCCTCACGCTGTGGTTGGACTTGCCAACAGGAAGGATTTGTTTATCGCTGGAGTGCAGAGGGGCTGAGTAAAGCTGGGTCTATTCACATAAATAGAATGCGAGTGTTACCACGAAAACGGTGTAGCTGTGGAGGCGAGAGAGTCTGCTAGGTTAGCAATTTCACTTAAACAGACATATGAAAACTACATGATCACAGGAACTACGCAGAGCAACACCCGCGAAATTAGTAGAGGAAAGGAACCTCATCAAAGTTCCATTATTTTGTTTCTTGAAGCCATCTTCTGTTTGCATTGAAAAGACACACCGGTCCTCTTTCTGATGGCGCTATCAACGAAAAATGACCAAATTGATTGGCAGATTAATGGATTTAGAGCTAGCAAGAAGATCCTTTATCAACAATTTTCCCTATACCATATCGTCCATAAATGTAGGCAAAAGCAAGTGCTTCCAGATCTCCAAGGGTGGCTACTTTGGTGATTGCAAAAGTGAAAAATGAAGATGGTGTATTCACTTACAGTACAAATGAATTCGTTTTAACTATTGCTCATAGCGTTTTGTTGAATGTTCTTTTAGAACATGCGTAAGTGAGTCCATAATAAATCTTTCCTTATTTTGCAGTCAACATTTAATAGGGATAGATCAATGAGTACTCTGTCCTTCTCACCAAGGCTTTAACGGGGCTCCACTCATTCCTTACACCAATCGCAAGGAGTTAACACATACCATGTCATCCCACCGCAACTCAACCAAATCTGTCGAATGGGTAAAAGGCAATGCACAATAGTACAACAACTTGATGAGGGAAGAGGTTTTGGGTGTGTAGTTGGTAGAAATTTGGAAGACATTGAAGGGGAAGGGAAGGGAGAAAATTCTCCTGGCATTACAGTTCTTCTTGTTCTACGACAGTCCTGTTTAGCAACACCTTCAGCCTCCTTCCGACCACTTTCATGAGGTCGGGAAAAAGAAGCAAGTCCTCACATTTGCTTGAAATCGCCTAAACTATTCTCACCGCCTATTTCTCTGCACTTAACTGTGGCTGACCACTATGTATGGTAAGGAACACAGTAGCAGGTGATACCACAACGTTCACAGCAACGTACTGTAGGTGGTACGTCAACTTTATGCATTTGGTGCTTCAAAGGCCTTACTCCTCTTCGTGCATCAATGCCGACAGGGATGCCATTGCCAATGGTGTGAAATGCCAGAGTTGCCAATTTCCATCATACGTCTTAGGGCAAATACTAGCCCTGCTAACACAAGTCCGTTTCAGCACATTTGTGCAGGAATTCATCAAAATCAACTTTGTAATGTGTTGAAACCAATCGCAAGTGCTGCATTATAATTCGACAAGTTATGTGTCACGAAGTGCAATGTGGGCAGGAGAGAGGTCATCCAATCGCAGTCGCTAGGCCAGGGGATGTCAATCAATTTCTTCACTTGATAGGTTAGACATCGTGGACTCCACTGACGCTCACAATTTGCACAAGTTGACCATCGCAATGAGTGCCATCTTCGAGTTGACTGAGCTTACCACAGTCTCCTTTCACCCCCTCACTTTGAACTCAAATTATCTCCCTGTATAGATTGGATCATCCTCAAAGTTATCTACTTAGTTTGATGGAAATTTTCACGAACTCCTGCAGCATGACAGCCTCGGGAAAGGTTAATCCTTAAAGCGGTGGGTTATGAACAATTGAGTGATTAGTTAATTATCTAATGGATGAATTAGTTATTTAAATACTGAAGTTAAATTAAACCCAGGACACGTGCACACAGGTAGATAGTTGAGACATTAATCTGATCGTCAGTATACATTAGGTGTAGCAGTGATGCCTTTCTTGCTGACTCCAAACGTCTTCAGTGAATAAACATGAGAAATGTGCATGGGTGTGAGTTTGTCTAACGGCCTAGAAGCCGTAAAGCTGCATCGCTCCCTT